CCCTGCAGGCGTGAGGGGTCCCCCGAGCCGGGTCCCTCATCCTTGGGCATGGGGCCGCCCAGAGCCCCCCAAAGCCCCCAGGTCCTTTGCCCTGGAACCGGGCTCTTCCCTTGATTTGGATTTTATTTGGACTGCCCGATTCCTGAGTTTGGGAAAAGGGAGATGGCAGCTTTGCCTCTTCCCTCCGGATGGTAAATCTGAAACGCAACCCACTGAGCCCGGACTGGGACGGAAAACCGGGGATTGCTTAAACTGCACATTTCACGAGAGTCTAAGTTACCTGATGATGTTGATCTTTTATATTATATTTTTTTTTATTTGTTTGTTTGCTTTTTGGTTTTGGCTGGCGGCAAGTTGTGGTTTAGGTTCAAATGACGAGGGTAGACGGGCGGCCCAGGTACCCATGAGATGCTTTGTGGGAGGCAAAAACCACCTGGTTGGTGTTTTGGTTTTAACTTAAAATAGCTGCCTGTAACAGCTCCTGCTTTGTCTTTTTGTTCTGCCGGTTTTACACTGTTTACACGGCAGAGGAGCAGACGCGCTTCGGCCAACCTCGCCTGCATCCCGGCTGGAGGGAGGAGAGGAGCAGGAGAAAAACTGTCTCGGCCTCTGGAGAAGGGGAAAAGGGGAAAAAAAAAAAAAAAAGAAATGGGGGGGAAAAAAAGCAAAATGTGTCTTGTGATTTCCTATGTGTGACCGATGCTCTTGTAGCTGGTGCGGGGAGCACTGGGAGGATGGGCTGAGACTGCCGGTGCCCCAAATCCCATGTCCCTCTTGCAGATCCTTTGGTAGGGTGGATGAAGGCGCAGGGGGGAGTTTGCACATCCCTGCGGGGAAGGTGGGACAGAAGGGGGTTAAACGTCGAGGAAAGCTGCTGCCAGCTGGAGGGGTGTCCCCAGGTCCCCGGTGTCCCCAGGGATGCAGTGTCCCCAGGGACCCGGTGTCCCCAGGGATGTGGGGACCCGACCCCACTGCAGCAGGCCGGGCAGCCGGCGCCGCAGGGTCACACCTGAGGTTTCTCCCCAAACCCTTTGCAGCTCCAGTCCTTCAATAAGGGATAATAAATCCCTTTTTTCTCCCCTCTCCCCATCGGGAACCCAGTGAGTGCTCCCCACACCCCGGCAAGTCCTGCTCCCTCCACCCCGTCGTCCCCCCTTCCCGCTGCCCCGTCCTGGGGCTGCCCCGGCTCTCCGGGAGGGGAGAGGGGTGGGTGACCTGCAGTTTGGTTTTCCCGAGGTTTCAGGGCTCGTGGGCAGCCTGAGAGGCTCTATCCCCTCGGCCAGCATCCACTGGCCGCACTGGGGCTTTCCTGTCTCCCCCTGCCTAGGGTACTGGGGAGCACTGGGTCGGGGTCTCGTCTCAAAAACTGCTTTATCCTGAATCCCCCCATGGGCTTCACACAGCTTTGCCTGGCACGTTGGCATGGGGGTCCCCAAAATCAGTGGCTGCTCCCCCCTTTCCCGCAGCCCCCTCGTCCCCCAGGCCCCCAGAAGTGCATCCCAGCCCCCATCCCACCGCACACCAAAGCCCTCAGGGTGGGGTTGTCCCTACCTGGGGGTGCAGCGGCTGCGACTGTGGCTCCCCGGGGCGCGGGGGGCTTGAGCACCCCCCCCAGTTGGGGGGTCTGTAACCCCGACAGCCGCCTCCATGGGGGGGAGGGGGGGGGGAGACCGGCGCAGGGGGCTAAACGAGGACCCAGACCCGGAGGACGCTTACAGAGCTCAGTTATTTTCACTTGCTGCTTTTTGTTGTTGTATCCACGGTAATACAATCACGAGATATATATATATATATTATATATATACTTCTTAAATTACACAATCAATGTACAAAAAACCGGGGTGCATTGCTGAGACAGGTGGTTGGTTGGGTTTTTTCTGACTTCTTTTGTGTTGGTTTGTTGTTTTGTTTTTTTTTCCCATTTGCGTATCTGGCAGGGGATGCGGGGCCGGGTGGCTCTCGCCCACCATGCCCAGCACATGGTGCATCTCCTGCCTCCGCGAGAACACTTGATCCCTGGGGCCAAAAAAATCACCTACCCACGGAGGGTGGCAGGAGAGGAGAGGGAGGAGCGTGCGGGAAGACGACGGCATCGATGCTGCTGAGGATAATGGTACGGGGAAAAAAATGAAAGATGATCTGTAGGGAGAAGCTCATGGTGGCAAAATGTGCCCGGGTTGGGGTGACCGTGCTGGGTGCTGAGGGGCTCCTGTCCACACCGTGGTAGAGCCCAAGAGCAGGATGGGTAGAACCCCTTGGGGAAAAGCAAAGGGCAAAGCCTGTGGCTCTTCCCCTGCTTTGGCGTGTCTTGTTTTCAGCCGTCTTCTCCAGGCAGCTGCTTTGCTGCCCGGGTTAGGGTCTGCTGCCAGCCCCCAGCCCTCCTCATCCTCCGGCTGGCTGCAGCTCCTGCCGGCACCGCGCAAGTCTGGACGTTGCTTATCCCCCACCCCTACTCTGCTCCTGGCTCTCTTCAGGGATGGGGCAGACGAGGACGGTGCCCAGCAGGATCCAAGGCGGTACCCGCTATCCCAGGCTGGGTGTGAAGGTGCTTCCAGCAGCATTGGGCTGTGGCGGGTCCTTCTCCAAACAGCGGTGGATTTTAGGGCCATCTCACCCCGGATCTGGTGATCGCCGGATGACCGCCCCAGCGAAGGGCGATGCTGCTCCCTGCAGCACAGGCGGGGCATCGGCTCGGGAGCCTCCACCCACTCCAGAAATGTTGGCAGCCCAGACACAAGGGGGAGGAAGCTGAGGAGATGCCACCAAGCTCCATGGCAGGGCTGGTCCCACCTCACCTGCGCATCTCAATCTGCCACCAGCTCTGCCTGTGAGCAGGGACCTGCCCGTGGACGGGGCCGGGTGGCTTTGGGGCAGGAGGGGATGCTCGACCTCTTCTTTCGGGGAGGGAGGACAAACTGGGGAGAAGAACATGGAAAGAAGAAAAAAATGGAGTCGGACTCCATTCCCTCTATTTTTGGGGGGTGAATTTGATTGGTCCCAGGAGCTTCAGCGCCGTGCATTTCGGAACAGTTCCAGCCAATCAGAAGGCGGCTCATGATTTCAGTATCTTTAAAAACCAACCAGTCAGGAGCTCTCACTGGTTGGGCTTCAAGATCTTGAGGTATCGGCTTTTCGCTCGGAAAAAAAATCAACTAACGTAGACGAACAGACAAGGTCATCTTTCGCTTCACGTTATCTTAGAAGAAGAAGAAGAAGAAGAAAGCGACTATGCAAAATACTCTTCGGAGACAACTCTTAAAAAAATAAAAGCTTGGTCGGAAAATATGTCTGAATCTCTAACTGTGAGGAGTGAAGGACCAGACGGCAAAATGGCTGGTTGGCTGGTGGAGAGATGGAGACAACGGAGGGTGGATTTATCTGCTGACGGCGACGAGGAGCACACCACAAGATTTAGATTGCCTCCACGTAGTTGGCAGGGTAGAGACCTAGCTGCCCGTTGTCCAAGCGCCCTTTGCACCATCCTTGCTCGTCTTCTTCACCAAGTTTGGTTAGTTCATCACCTGGAGAGGAAGGTGGGAAGGGGAGAGCTCGTTGCAGGTGTTGGGACGTCTTCTGTCCCCTCATTTCTCCCCTGGATGGTGCTGCTGGGGGTTTCTAGGACTGATCCTGAGCACACAGGTTTGTAGGGTTGAAAGGCAAGGGGTAACCCGTGAGACCTCACACGTCCCGTCCCACCACCTCTCTGGTCCCACCCAGGTTTGGGCTCAGCTTGTGCCTTCTCCTTTCTGCCAGTTCAACATTTTGAAGGGCTGGGTTAACCCAGAAATGATTTGAGGGATTTTACACCAAAAAGCAGAGTAGTGTGGGACTCGCAGCACCACCAGCCGAGCTCCAGCCCACCAGGCACCGGTGATGGACCATACCTGCTTTGAAGCTGAGCTCGTCCTGCTCCTGCCCGTCATAGTCGTACAGAGCCCGCACCCGCACGCCCTTCCCTGCCGACTCCTCGTCGAAGGGGTTGGTGCCGCCATTGGCCTCGCTGGTGTTGAAGGAGTTGCTGCCTTCGTCGTCGGACCACTCGGCGCTGTAGGTCTGCCCACGGTCGTGGCTGCTCACGCTGGGGTGGGGGGAAAGGAGGGAGAGGGGCCGTCAGAGCAGGTCAGAGCGGGCGAGGGGACGGCGGGGTGGCAGACAGGGTGTGCTGCCCAGATCTGGGAGGATGCTCCGGCTTTCCCGAGGTTACAGGGGAGCAGGGGCTGCAGTGAGCAGGACCTCTAGCTAATGACATGTCCAGCAACACATGGAGGGAGGAGACAAAACAGTGGTGGCCATCCCCAAGGACATCCCTTGTCCCCTTGGGTGTCCCTAGAGCACTGGCAATGTTTGCATAGGCAAATGCTGTGCCTTTCCCGTGGCATCTCCACTCCCTGCTGGCCCTCACCTCCCGCGCTCGCCCGCCGATGCCCCCGTCTCGCCCGTGCTGCTGGCGTTGGTCAGGGTCACCCCCTCGCCCTTCTTCTGCTTTTCCTTCCGTGTTATTGTGTGCGTCAGGTCCGGGTTCCACTCCTGCAAGCACAAAGCGACTGGTCCCTGAGCGCCCGGCCACCCCATGGGGCTGCCACCCCCCCAGCCGGGGCGGCCAGCATCCTCCTGCGCGTCCGAGAGGCGGATGGTCTGCTCCAGCTCCCGGTAAACATTGGCGTAACTGCAGGGAGAGAGGTGGGTCAGGGTGCTGCGGGTGGGGGTGGACCCTGCTGTGGTGGGACATGGTGGGACGGGGACATGCTCAGGTTGTATCACCTTCTACAAGGCACTGGGGGGCGCCAGGCTCCCACCCAGCCCTGTGCCACTCTGGTACCTCTTCGTTACCATCTTGTTGGCCAGAAACCCCTCTCCATTGTGCAGGGGATGGACTAGCCTGGAAGCACCTAGTCCCTCCAGGGCTTGGTTTGCTTTCCGGGCAGCACGAGGACACCTTGTGTGGACACTTTCTGCCCAGCCAGCACAGGAGGCACCTACCTGCTGCTCTCGGCCAGGTTCAAGTGCCTCTTGATGTCCAGGAGCACTTCCTTGAGGAAGTTGAGCCTCTTCTCCTCAAACTGCTGGCATTGCTCGAAGACCTGCTCCATGCTCTCGATGTACTGCGGGGTGCACTTGTTCAGCTCATCCAGCACCTTCTCGTACTTCTCCTGAGTCTGCAAAGGTGCAGGAGGGGACCTTGGTTATACCTCGAGCACCTTAGAGGCCCTTTCTGGGTGCTGAGAGGGTCTGGCTTGTGGGCCACCATGCTGGGGAGCCCCATTTGAGCCCAGGGCCTCTGCGGGTGAAGTCAGTCTTGTTGCCAGAAAGATTTTTCCCCAGTAAGAGGGGTAAATCTCTGCCCTGCTCACACTCCCCTGAGCCCTGCCTGCCAGTCCTCACCCTTCTACAGGAGTGTAGGGATGGGAAAATGGGAATGAATGGCGGGGGAGGAAGGGGGTGGTGGCCATTTCCACTGGTTTTGCCTGCCCGATGCCTCGTGAGCAGGCAGCGGCTTGCACCTTTTGCACGTCTTGCTTGCACTTTTCTACTTTGTCCTGGAGCTTCTTCTGCTGCTCGGGGGTGTTGGACTGCTCCGCCTTGCTGTTGGCTTCCCGGGTCATCGCCAGCTTCTCCTCCTTGCATGCCAGGTGGTAGGCTTTCTTGGCTGTCTCCAGCTGTGGAGAGGAGAGAGAAGGGACATCAGAGCAGCAGTCGCAGCCCCCTGCCCATCCCTCTGCCTGCAGGGATGTGCCACCCAGCTCTCCGGGCCTGAACTGGGCACCCAGAGCCGGAGCTGGGAGATGGCATGGGTGTCCCAGGACACGCTGTGCTTCTCTCACCTCCTTGAGCTTCTTGGCCCAGGGCTTCTGGGCTTTCCGGAAGCCATCCTCAGCCTCCTTGGCCTCCTTGAAGCCTCCCATGATCTGCTTGTGGTAGGCATCCTTCTGCCAGTTCTTCACCTTCTCGAAGTCATCATTCAGCAGGCTGTTCTTCACCTCCTGGTGCAGCTCGCTCACCTTGTCCGCCTCCGTCATGATGGCACCCCACGCCTTCTCCAGGCTGCCGTACTGGGGACCTGGGGACAGCTGAGTGTCACTCCACAGCCCTTACCCCCTCCACCTCTACCAGGTGAAGTTGTGACGGTGCGTGGGGACCCATGGGACCCAGGTGTCCTGGGGGGCGCCTCCCCCTGGGGAAACCATGGTACCTTTCTCGATGAGTTGCCTCCACCGCTTGGACCAGTCGGTGAGCTGCTGGGCGTAGGACTTCTCGATCTTGGCTCTCTCGTGCACGCAGTTCATGAGGTCATTGCAGAGCCGGTGCCCATCATCGATCCTCTTCACCGTGCGCTTGTAGTTCCCCACCTGGGAGAGGGATGGGGACAGGGACACGCTGGTGTGGGAGCTGTGTTTGGGCTGCCCAGCTCAGCCGCAGCTGGCCCGAAGTGGGGACTGGGGGAGCACTGGGCACTTTGGGGGTGCAGGGATGGAGCTTTTGCTTTGGGTCTGCTCAAATCCAGCTTCTTTTGCACCCCCCACCCATCACTCTGTGCCCTCTTGGGGACAGCCGAGGTCAAGACCTCCAGCAGATCCACGGCAGCAGGGATGCCCTCGGGCAGGGCTTGCTGCGGGAGGGGAGGGCAGCTTCGTCCCTCCCCCAGCCCAGGGGACACGCTGGGATGCGGTGACGGCGGCGGGGGCCCCGCGGGAGGAGAGGACGGCCGGGACTCACCTCCCAGAAGCTGTCGGTTGTTTCCTCCGCGGCCGCTGCCGACTCGTCGTAGGAACCCGACAAGGCTCCCCGCGCTGCCTCGGGCGTCAGTGCGGGCGCTGGGTGGCTGTCGGGCAAACACCAGCCTCATGCACTGAGGGGAGAAGATGGGGGAGGTCATGGAGGGGGTGAGCAGGGGACCCCCATCCCTCCTGCTCACAGCACCACGGGGTGAGCGTCTGGCTGCAGAGGATGGGGACAAGGATGAGGATGATGCCTGTTCCAGCTCCGGACCCACAGACCCCTCTAGTGCCCCCCACGCCAAGGTGCCATCCAAACCCCCCCAAAACCAGCTGAGCTGGGAGGGAGAATCGCGGGGAGCAGCACGGTGGGGAGCTCACCGGCGGGGGCCTGGCTCGGTACCGTGCGTCCCCGGGGAGCCGTGGGGCGAGGGACTGTGGTGGGGCTGGGGGCTGGGGGGGATGAGCCTGAAGAAATTCTCGTCCTGATATTCCACCCTAATCCGTCCTGATCTTCAGAAAAACGGCATCCCCGGAGCGTCACGTGGCCCCGCTGCACGGCTTAACCCTTTGCCGCTTTGCCGAGAGCCGTGGCCGGGGATGGGGGCTGGTGGGTGGAATCGAATGGGGATGGAGAGGGTTGCCATGAGCATCCTCATCATCCCCGTCCTGCCCTGGCTCCGGTCAGCGCTCCCATGGGGGAACAGGGTCTGTCCCGTGTGGCATCTGCCACCGGGATAGGGACAAAGTGGCTGTGAAGTGCCCCAGTTTCCTCCTGCCATGTCCGCAAAAGGGCTGTGGGAGCGGGATGTGGCCATGATCCCCGTGCACCATCACTCCTCCCGGGGAGATGGAGCAGGCAGCGGGAGACCTGTCTGC